CTGGATATGGGCACCAGTGACCCACGCGACCCTGAAAAGGAATAAGCGTGTACAGAAAATGGATGGATGGATGGACGGATGGATAGCACCTCTAGTAATATATTTACTGAGAAAAATGGTGACGTGTTCAATACTTATTTTACCCGCTGTAACCTCCTGAGACCCTGCATCCTAACGTTAAGGACATTGGTAGGCAGACTAAATTAATATTTTTTGTTTCATAAAATATACTAATTGCTCAAAAACAATGTTTTGTTTTATGTTGATGTGGTTCTGCTGGTTTTTAAAATGCTCACAAAGCAAAAGCTTGGGACTCAAGAAGATAAAACTGCCWCTCCAGATTTTTTGTGGTGGCTTTCCCTCACCCTCATGGTGGCACCCCTGTATTCAAACGTCTGTAATAATAGTTTATTTTTGTGTAAATAAAATACAAAGATTTTGTGTCTCACAGCTAATTTGGTTCTATTTTTAAGCATCTCAACAACCCTGACTTCTATTAAACTCTAGATGTTGGAATAGAGTTTGTGGAAAATACAAAATTACAAGTTGTTTAAGCTGTGACATGGCCCACTGATATTTTTTTTAAATGTATTTGTGGTTGGAGATAAGCACGCCACAGGATTTGTCTGAGCGGATGTACAGGCTGCAGACAGAGGGACAGTGACACGGCACCTGGCTCCCACAGAGAGCCTCTCAGAGATGAGAGCTAATAACAGCACGGCGGTGACAGCAGCCGGAGTGATGTGCACAGACGTAATTAGGTTAGCGGCAGCATGTGGTAGCTGGTGTTGCACTGCTGAGCCTTTTGGGATCTTACCAGCTCCTCCTGATGCAGACCTCTGAGGAGGGCTGTCATTGGCATGTCCCTCAGTTTAATAAAAAATAATAATAATAAAAATCATATCTGAAAAATGTCTGTTTCCTGTTCCAAACTGTGAGATTTGTTGTGCGTGAGACGGTGGAATGCAACACGTAAAGAAAATCCAGCACTTCACACCCAGACGTTTAAAATTAAATGGATTTATTGACAAAAGACTGAAGAGTTAAGATATTTTATCTTCATTATTTTTGATGCATTTACAGTTTCTGAATGCAACTCCTTAAACAGAGGATAAAAGCTGCTGTATGAAAACATCATTACCTGTACATCACATCACATTCCAGTCACTCACACACTCTGATAGCAATCCTCACAGGCACACCTGAACGTCAGTGGTTACTCTACGACTCACTCGCTGTGTACCGTCCTGCTCTCACCATCGTCTCACAATAAGCAAAGAGTGTCACAGCTTACAGTAAAATAATATGTACAGTTTTTATTTCAAAAATAAAATAAAAGTCTGAGTTTCAAGCAGAGGCTTGTGGATCTTCAGTTTTCCTCTTCAGTTCTTTTTGTGGAGAAATTTCATTTTGTTTCCTGAAAAAACAAGCAAAACAAACAAATTTAAAAAAGCTAAATACAATAAGAATATTGATCAGTGGTCCCCAAACTACGGCCCGCGGGCTGGATACGGCCCGCCTCCCCATTTGGTCCGGCCCCCAGAACAATACCAGAGAGCATTTAGTATTTTTTTCATACATGTATATTAATATTTGATTATAAAGTTGGACTTTTGCAATAAAATGTTCCTTA